CAGGTGTATATCAGTATGTAGTGTCTCTACTTAAAGAGTCCTCTCCTGCTGATGTTCAGGTGTATATCAGTATGTAGTGTCTCTACTTTAAAGAGTCCTCTCCTGCTGATGTTCAGGTGTATATCAGTATGTAGTGTCTCTACTTTAAAGAGTCCTCTCCTGCTGATGTTCAGGTGTATATCAGTATGTAGTGTCTCTACTTTAAAGAGTCCTCTCCTGCTGATGTTCAGGTGTATATCAGTATGTAGTGTCTCTACTTTAAAGAGTCCTCTCCTGCTGATGTTCAGGTGTATATCAGTATGTATTGACTCTACTTTAAAGAGTCCTCTCCTGCTGATGTTCAGGTGTATATCAGTATGTAGTGTATCTACTTTAAAGAGTCCTCTCCTGCTGATGTTCAGGTGTATATCAGTATGTAGTGTCTCTACTTTAAAGAGTCCTCTCCTGCTGATGTTCAGGTGTATATCAGTATGTAGTGTATCTACTTTAAAGAGTCCTCTCCTGCTGATGTTCAGGTGTATATCAGTATGTAGTGTATCTACTTTAAAGAGTCCTCTCCTGCTGATGTTCAGGTGTATATCAGTATGTAGTGTCTCTACTTTAAAGAGTCCTCTCCTGCTGATGTTCAGGTGTATATCAGTATGTAGTGTCTCTACTCTGACATGTCTCCATGCTTTAATGTTCAAAAAGCTCTTTATTTGTCTCATACTGTCTGTGCTGCAGCACCTCTTTTCACCCTCTGTCTGAAACCAGAGCCCAGTCTGCTCTGACTGGTTAGCTGGCCGGCTCTGTTGTGATTGGTCAACCGCTTAGAGATGTCCCGCCCCTTAGCCTATCACGTACAATTTGTTGGAGCGCTAGCCAATAGAAATGCAAGTGTTACAGAGTGATATCATTATCTTATAGAAGTAAACAAAGGAGTCCAATGGAAGCGTTACAGGAAAGGGAAAACCCCCAAAAAGCATAATATGACCTCATTAAAATTACAGTAATGGCTTCCAAAATGCAGAGAAGTAGAAGTAGAATAAAATGAAAATACTCAGGTGAAGTGTACTTAAATACAGTACTTGTGAAAATGTACTTTATTAGACTCCACTTCCGGTGAATACAGATGAAGAAAATGTGCAAAAGTCTCTGAAAGAAGCTTTTACAACGATGAAAAGAGAGCTGGAGAGGACTCGGGTTTCCAACCACTCTACTAAAAATGGCTTATAATTACATCCAATCTGCAGCAGGGCCCGGCCGCTCAGATCCTGTCATTGAGGTTTCTCTTTATGTCTCAGTCTGAAATTACTCCAGCATGTGAAGCTATATCGAACCCCACAGTATGTTCTGAAACATCATGTTCTGGATACTATCCTCGTCTACTTTTTTAGCTGCTTTTCCTCGAGATGAATATTGATGTGTGTGCAGCTTTAAAAGGAGAGGCCTCCAACCAGTCATTTCGAAAGGAATTTGGGGACAATCACAGAATCCAAGACCAACTAATAAATGGGTACATTATGCTTTTTGGGCTTTTCCCTTTGCTGTATGTTATACAGGTTTTAGTGAATGTGAATGGTGTGCAAAGGCTAAAATCCCTGTATTTTTCTCCAACACACTCACCCGCCCTGCCTGAAACGCCTCCATTAGACTCCTTTGTTTACTTCTTGAACATAGTGACATCACTTTGTAACACTCACTCTTCTATTGGCTAGTGCTCCAACACATTGTACGTGATAGACTACGGGGCAGGACATCTCTAAACGGTCGACCAATCACAACAGAGCCGGCCAGCCAATCAGAGCAGACTGGGCTCTGGTTTCAGACAGAGGGTGAAAAGAGGTGCTGCAGTATGAGAAAAGTAAAGAGCTTTTTGAACATTAAAGCATGGAGACAAGAGGCCCGTCATTGTCAGACATCCCACTACTGCAAACAGATATATTGATATTGTTTGTGGTCCAAAGTAGGTATAATATTGATAATATGACACTTACAAGAAAGACTGAAGGCATGAGGTGACAAACAGAGACCTTCGCCACATGTTTGAAGTATTTTCTAATAAGCTCTATGTATAGCTGGGCGTGTGCTGCCATACCAGCCGGAGGAATGTGGCAGCAACTGGACCAGCACATGGGACATTGTACACCCTGACAATACATAATGCATAACAAGTACTTTTACATTTGGTACTTTATGTATATTTTGATGCAAATACTTTTGTTCACTAAAATGTGAATGCTTTCAAAATCATCCAAAAAGCATCCTAATACACTAAAAGTACCAAAAAGTAAAATAAATACTGCTGCTGGATATCTTAACCTATGATCCCATGTCATTGTTTATTTATTAGTCGATGTATATCTTGTATTAATTAATAATCTGAATATGTAAAGTAACTTAAGCTGTCAGATAAATGTAGTGGAGTTAGAAGTACTAGTATCTTGACTCCAAAAATGTAGTAGTATAAAGTAGCATTAAATTAAAATACTCAGAGAAAGTACAATTAGCTCAGAATTGTTGAGTACATTTACTCAAGTAATGTATCATTTGGGGGTACTTTACTTGAGTATTTCCATGTTCTACTCCATTTGTAGGTACTTTTAACATAAATACATGTGTTTATATGATTGTATTTACCAAAATGTGCTCCATATTGACGAATTACAACATTAAAAAAACTGTTATATGTATTTTCTAATGATAGAAATAGGATAATATAATATAATCTAATAATAATAACACAACACAACACATGTTGCTTTATTTTAAAGGATCTGAGTACTTTTCCCACCACTGTGATTGTACAATACTTGAGTACATGGACTACATTAGATTCCTCCACTGGTTAATATTTAAGTTCACAAGATAAAGTAGTGCCAGCTGAGCCTGAGTGGAACCATAAAAAGTGAACAAGGAAAACATGCCTGAATGTAAACGGAAACAAAACGATTAGTATGTAATGTATGCGCCAAACAGAGCCTTGTTTACAGTTCAAGTCTTGAGTGGCAAAATGAACTGAAGCATGCCCCGAGTTGTGAACTTTGAATTTTAAATAATTACCATATTTCGGTTTCTCCTCCAGTTCCATGACTCCGGAATGTTTCTTCTGTGCAATAGGAGCTTAAAAAGGACGGCTAACTACAACATATTTCCAGTTTTGAAGGAGGTTTTAGTGAGGCGCTTCAGTCAGTTTGAACACTTGAGGAGTCCGCTTCAAAATCTTCACGGTGCTGCTAACATTTAAAGGGGCATTCCTTAGAGAATGGTGAGGACCAATGAGAACGCAAGACGGAGTGATTGACAAAGCGTTTAGCCAATCAGTGAGCGAAGGAGGGAGTTTATATTCCTACCGTTTACTGGCATAGGCATAAATGTCCAATGAGCTGCAATATAACCAGTGGTGCAATGTAATACAGTATCTTTACTCTCAAATACTCTATTTTAGTACAATTTAGAGTTTTTTCAACCTTTATACTACATTTTGACACCCCATATGGTACTTTTTAATTCATTTCAGGTATTTAGTTACCTTACAGATTCAGATAATAAGCTAATACAACATCTAAATCAACTAATACATGAACAAATTGACATATAATTATAGGTTAAATATCTAGATCTAACACTAGATAAAGTCAGTCAAAATAGCTCCACCTTTAAATACTGTGTGAGCACTTTATTGCATCAATACCTAAATCCAGTAAATTATTAAATTATTCTGAAATGGGCCGTAACGAGTGCTATTACATGACTTTTGGTACCTTAAGTATATATTGATGTCAATACATCTGTACTTTTAATTAAGTGAGATGTAAAATGCAGTTCATTTACTTGTAACAGAGTATTTTTTTACAATTTAGTGTCGCATATATCTGTCTAAATATTCTCATTTTTGTATTAAATATGGGCTACATACTGTAACATGTGTTTGTCAATTATGACTCATTCACAGATAAAATGTGTCTTAATCAGCAGAGTGTGCACCAAATCAATGGTATGGCCCTGATGAAATTCAAGAGAACATTAAATATATAATGCAATATATTCATAATTCAACTTACACACCCGACATTGCCTGATCTGACTGCAGAGGAGAAGAGGTGAGATCAAAGAGTTCTCCTTTAACACGAGAGAGCCCTAGCTGGTGCAGATGGAGCTAGCTAGTGACTGTTGGACAGTAATGTATCATGTTGTGTAAGCTAACTGTATTTCTATGTATACATAAGGAGGATTTGTGTGCTAGTAACAAAAACAACGATTAATTATTTTAATTTCTCATTTATATTGGGTATAAAGTATATTTTTTCCTTTTTTTGTATGCATTTTACCCTGAACACTTACAGTGTCTTTGAGTACCTTGAAAAACACTTTTATTCCTATTTTAGGTCTATTTTTGTATAATACTGCACCCTTCTGGCAATGTATTGTCATGCTCTCACTTGCATTATGGTTAAATATATAAAGATTGAGATTGAGATGGTTGCATTAAAGAAACAAATCTTAAATGTTATTTGCCTCCTTCATTGAAACTTTAAAAATGTTCAGGCAGCTCGTCCATGAGTAGCTAAATTAATAAGTGTAAACAAAGTGAAGGTGACATCAAACAGTACACAGGAGTACTGCTATACAAACGACAGAATTAGCTGTGTTATTGTGTCTAGAGCATGACTAAGAGTGGCTGAACCCATTGGGATATTGTTACTGAGTTGCCTTTATTCTGGGAACTGGAATATAAGACAACCACAGAAATCCACTCCTCCAACATCCAACACGCCTCTGCTGGAGAGCCAATCAGATTCCTCTGCAGTTGGTGAACTATCCCTAAAATCAATCAGCCATCTTTAATGATAATAGATGCCCAAAACAACAAAGATCATGTATACGTTTATATTTAAGTCTCAGTTTTTTAATGTATTGACTTCACAGAGGTTGAATATATAAGATAAAAGTTGATCATAGGCTGATCTCAGACACATGGTACAATGATGACGCAGCACGTACAGTCTTGCGTGCTTTGCGTGATGACGTCATGTTATATTTTGAGGCTGTGCTATATAACTCAGTGGCATAATAGAGGAGGCAGAAAAAGGATTGTTGTCCCACTAAACACAGGTAAATACTCCTTATACAAACACTAACACGTTTTTTACTGCTTTATTTAACACACAGTGCTAGTACAGTACATTGTTACCCTGAACATTTGGATATTATGTCGTTTACAGCAAAGTTATTAGCGACCTTTCGTGAGGTAGCACTGTTAGCTTGTAGCTACAATAATTTCACTTGAGGCCAAACAGGTTAGCTGAGCTAGGTTAGCTTAGCACTGTCAGAGGTTGTTAGAGAATACAGTAATACAGAATAAACCGCTTTTATACTACTGACATTTAGAAACACCAGCTAGTATTATCTTCCTACCTACAGTTGTAACTCAAGCCTTGCTTTCGTAGCAAACTGATTGTTGTAGTCAATAACAAGTTTATTGACTATGCACTCACCTGTGGTCGAATGTAACTTAGTAAAAAGAAAAATACTTTTGAAAAATTGAGGTACTTTTACTTGAGTGTTGTCTTTTCATGCCACTTTATACCTCAACTCCACTACAATATGAAGGGATATTTATTAACTTCACTACTTATATTATACAGCTTTAGTTAGTTTACACGCATAGTGTACAGATGTTTACATAAAAGAACGTAGGTTTTTCTACAATAATTTTGTTGTAATACTATTAATAAAATGTATTTTTTACATTGTGCTATTATTACTTTTACATAAGTTAATCTCAATGATTGGTCCACCACTGCTGACAGTCACTCACTGTTTCAGGGTGAACAGAACCGTGCTGCTCCTATGTAGCATATGTTAGCACACTGTGAAAGTCACTGCCATCACTTCCAATGCAAGCTCGAGGATTGCACTTTAAGTTACCTGTTTATAATGTATATAAATGTTTATTTTACAGGTTCCTCTTCATCATGGCTTTGAGAAACGCTCTGTGCCGTCTCCTGGTCTCTCCTCACAGATGTGCCGTCCTCTCAGCTTCCAGATCACAGGGAACTGCAGCACAGGCCAACTGGGGTACTGACAACATGAGATATCTTTGTTTCATAGTGATAGTTCTCAGGGAAACTGTGTTTTATCGTTTCTTGCTTAATATCAATCCTTTCCTGGTTTTACATTTCCACAGAAGCAGAGAAGACTGAGAAGAAGCCTAAAGCGCGTAGGTGTTACTAACTCCTTATTTGGGAAATCTACTGTAGATACTACATTGAATTTTAAGTTCTCACCAGAACATATTTGTAACTATGGTTTGAAGGTTTTTGAATTGTTCCTTTTCTTAATATCTGCCAGCGAAGGTCCAGTTTGACTGGCGCGATGCTCTGAACCTGGAGGGCCAGCTGACGGAGGATGAGATCATGATCAGAGACTCCTTCAGGACCTACTGCCAGGAGAAACTCATGCCTCGCATCCTGATGGCAAACAGAAACGAAGGTCAGAGACTCATAACATGTTCACCTCCAGCCAAAACATGTCTAGGGTCCAACAAACAAAAACAAAGGCACCATTTCAAGGATTCAAGGCTTTTATTGTCATTCGTACAGAGCTACAGTTATGTCGAGGAACCTCTGAGGTCCCAGATACAATAGTGCATACATTACATACAATCAAATAGAATAGAAGACTTGGTGCCATAAGAGTATATATATCATCATTTGTAAGTTGCAAACGGGTGAATGTTATGGATGTTCTTAGTTCAGGTGTTTAACAGTCTTGTGGCCTCTGGAATGTTTAAAGATAATACAAATAAAGATTAAGGTAGACGTCACAGCTGTTCCTTTCTGATGATCGTCACCTAGCAGTGACCTGAGGCCCTGCTTATATGATTCCTAACAGAAAAAAATACATTTTAGTCACGAAAAAGCTCTTATTTTGGAATATATGAATATATTCTGTACATATTTACATGTCCATTTGTTTGACGCTTTTATCCAAAGCGACTAACACACATTCAGTACTGTGGACAATCCCCACAGGAGCAATTTGGGGTGACACAGGGACATGCTGACTGCAGTGGGACTCGAACTTGCTATCCCCTGATTCGAAGTCCAGCACACTATCCACTGAGCCACAGCCACATATAATTAAAGATAGGAATTAGCACAAAAAAATGTACTTTGCTAAAAATAAAACAGCGTATCTTCTGTTACACTTCATGTCATAAAACTGCTGATTGTGTGTTTTATTTATTTCCAGTGTTCCACAGAGATATCGTGTCAGAGATGGGAGAGATGGGCGTGCTGGGCCCAACCATACAAGGTGATTTCACAGTTCACAGTTAATGGTCCATAGATGTGTGTTGTGAACTATAACGTTTCAGCATGCTTTTAAAAAATGTTTTACCGCTGCCTTTATTCATTTCCAACATTAAAACACAAAAGATACACAGAAAAATAACACTTAAAGTTAATTCAATAAGAAAAAACTACTTTTTATTTTCATTTACAAACAGTTTACCGTGTAAATCTGGAACATTCCTCTCACAGAAAGGACTGAATTGTCCCAAATGGACTTTGGCCGTGTGCACACTGGACCTGAGGGCTTTGTTTGTTTTGGAGAAATCTTTAACTACGACTACTTCCAACTTTATTCATACAGCACTTTTCATACTTATTATACAACACACTTCACGAAACCAAAAACAATAACGAATAAAAAATACAAGCAGAAGGACTGAATAAAACAAGAATAAATACACTTGAATAATGACATAAATGAATAATGGTGTCTTGAGTTGGCTCTGGACTTTTATCAGTTAGTTTCCAACACCCTGATGTTATTCCTCTTCCTGTGTTTGATGTGAAGGTTTTGGATGTGCCGGTGTGAGTTATGTCGCGTACGGTTTGATCGCCAGAGAGGTGGAGCGAGTGGACAGCGGATATCGCTCCGTCATGAGCGTGCAGTCGTCCCTCGTCATGCATCCCATCAACGCCTACGGCACAGAGGAGCAGAAGCAGAAGTACCTCCCCAGGCTGGGTAAGAGTCATGGACGGATATTCAAATAGCTTACAGTCCCAGCTTAAAGTCCTCTGTGTGTGGCGGGGTTACAGATGGGGTCCAAAATGTTGATCAGAGTTTGAAAGCTAGAGTGAATAAGTGAGTTTTGAGAGATGTTTTGAAGGATTCAAGAGTGTTGGCCTTTCATGCAATGCTATCGAATGTATATTTTTTTCAGTTGTTGGCCTTTCGGGTGAGGCTGGGAAGGGAGTTCCAGAGTTAATGCCTCAGCCATTAAATAGACATCATGGTGTTGTGCTCTACTCGCAGCTCGGGGGGAGATCCTGGGATGTTTTGGTCTGACGGAGCCGAACCACGGTAGTGACCCGAGCGGCATGGAGACCAGAGCCAAGTACAACCCGTCCAGCGGCACCTACAGTGTGACCGGCTCCAAGACCTGGTGAGCAATGGCATTTATATGTGTCTTTATTAAACAGGGACCATGCATACAAACAGAGGTGGGAAGTAGTGGAGTACAAATACTTTGTTACTGTACTTAAGTACATGTTTCTGGTACCAGTACTTTACTCCACTACTTATTTTTCTGATGACTTTTTACTTTGACTTCTTAAATTTTGAACCCAAATACCTGTACTTTCTACTTCTTACATGTTGAACCCAAATACCTGTAATTTCTACTTCTCACATGTTGAACTCAAATACCTGTACTTTCTACTTCTTACATGTTGAACCCAAATACCTGTACTTTCTACTTCTTACATGTTGAACCCAAATACCTGTACTTTCTACTTCTTACATGTTGAACACAAATACCTGTACTTTCTACTTCTTACATGTTGAACCCAAATACCTGTACTTTCTACTTCTTACATGTTGAACACAAATACCTGTACTTTCTACTTCTTACATGTTGAACTCAAATACCTGTACTTTCTACTTCTCACATGTTGAACACAAATACCTGTACTTTCTACTTCTTACATGTTGAACCCAAATACCTGTACTTTCTACTTCTTACATGTTGAACTCAAATACCTGTACTTTCTACTTCTCACATTTTCCAAACAGGCTGGTTCCTTTAGTCTGAATGTGTGTTTGGTGGCGTGATCATTATTATTTAGAGTCATTGCGTGCCTATTGATTTGAACACGATCCGTGTATCCATCACTTCCTGGTCTTCTCTAAAGAAGAGGGACCAATGAAAACGTTGTCATGTTGCCGTTGTTCAGCATGGAAACATTCATTAGCTAACAATGACATTATTGTTCTATTAATATAAAGGGAGGTCAGGTACTCTTTAAAACAGCTGCTATGGGTACTTTTTACTGAAGTGCATTTCAAAGCCTCTTTACTTTTACTGGAGTAAAGAAATTGTGTCAGTACTTCTACTTTTACCAGAGTATGTTTAAACACGAGGATCTGTACTTCTACTTGAGTAAAGGATGAGTTTACTTTTGTCATCTCTGCATACAAATATATTAATCTCCAAAAGAGAAGAGATGATTTAAGCCTGATTGTTTGATTAGCTCATTTCCCTCTCAGTCCCTGAGTACATGCTTAACAATCCTCAGGGGAGAAGTTAGAGGGGCCGTTCACCCCCAAAACAAAGGTGCCCAACATCAAACGGCATAGTTCATGTTACACACCTGAACTTTTGAAAGAACATCCATAGCTTACAAATTATTTATCTGATATATCATATTCCAATGACTTGTATATAGACTCTCCTTGCACTATTTCATCTGTTTCATTGTGTTGCTCTGTGGGAGGAGACTGAGACCTCAGATTGTCATGTGTGCATAACTACACTGTAGCTCTGACAATAAAGCCTTGAATCTGAATCTTGAATCATACTTGTGTTGTTTACCATCCCCTGAAGATCCCTCTGCCTCCTCCCCCCTCAGGATCACCAACTCCCCGGTGGCAGACATCGCGGTGGTCTGGGCTAAATGTGACGACGGGAAGGTGCGCGGCTTCATCCTGGAGCGCGGCATGAAGGGTTTCTCCACTCCTAAGATCGAGGGGAAGTTCTCCCTCAGAGCCTCGGCCACCGGCATGATCGTGATGGACGAGGTGGAGGTTCCTGAGGAGAACCTGCTGCCACACGTCTCCGGACTCGCTGTGAGTGCAGGGAATCATAGTGTTGTTTCCCTTCAATAGTGTTCTTATTTGTCACACAGTTTATAGATTTTGTTATTTTCACGGTCATCTGTATATTTTTCTTAAAATGCTGGTTTATTTCTATTATTTTGAGTTGTTTCTATTTTAGAGTTGTTTATTTCTACTCTTTCTATTATGTGCAATGCCTTTTTTTGTTTTATGCTGCTGCAACAACATTTCCCAAATTGGGGTTATTAAAGTACATCTTATCTTTATTTTATCTTATAACCACCGCTAAGCTAAAGGTGGCTAATGTTGGACTATAAAGGAACTACAGCACGGTCACATGACTTCACGTCACCACCGCTAAGCTAAAGGTGGCTAACATTGGGCTATAAAGGAACTACAGCACGGTCACATGACTTCACTTCACCACCACTAAGCTAAAGGTGGCTAATGTTGAACTATAAAGGAACTACAGCACAGTCACATGACTTCACGTCACCACCGCTAAGCTAAAGGTGGCTAACATTGGGCTATAAAGGAACCACAGCTCGGTCACATGACTTCACGTCACCACCGTTAAGCTAAAGGCGGCTAATGTTGGGCTATAAAGGAACTACAGCACGGTCACATAACTTCACTTCACCACCACTAAGCTAAAGGTGGCTAATGTTGAACTATAAAGGAACTACAGCACGGTCACATGACTTCACATCACCACCGCTAAGCTAAAGGTGGCTAACATTGGGCTATAAAGGAACCACAGCTCGGTCACATGACTTCACGTCACCAGCGTTAAGCTAAAGGCGGCTAATGTTGGGCTATAAAGGAACTACAGCACGGTCACATGACTTCACTTCACCACCACTAAGCTAAAGGTGGCTAATGTTGGACTATAAAGGAAATACATCACGGTCACATGACTTCGTGTCACCACCGCTAAGCTAAAGGTGGCTAACATTGGGCTATAAAGGAACCACAGCTTGGTCACATGACTTCACGTCACCACCGTTAAGCTAAAGGTGGCTAACATTGGGCTATAAAGGAACTACAGCACGGTCACATAACTTCACTTCACCACCACTAAGCTAAAGGTGGCTAATGTTGAACTATAAAGGAACTACAGCACGGTCACATGACTTCACATCACCACCGCTAAGCTAAAGGTGGCTAACATTGGGCTATAAAGGAACCACAGCTCGGTCACATGACTTCACGTTACCACCGTTAAGCTAAAGGCGGCTAATGTTGGGCTATAAAGGAACCACAGCTCGGTCACATGACTTCACGTTACCACCGTTAAGCTAAAGGCGGCTAATGTTGGGCTATAAAGGAACTACAGCACGGTCACATGACTTCACTTCACCACCGCTAAGCTAAAGGTGGCTAATATTGGGCGTGAAGCCGTTCAGTCGTCTCATTTAGACACTTGTTAGCAACCGCCGTTTTTTTTTTATTCACCAGTGAGTGGTATTTACTGACGGATTTTATGTCGTAGAACAAAACGTTAAAATCTCAGCTTGTGTTAACCAAATACATTTATAATTCTCTCTCCTTGTGTTGCCTTCAGGGTCCGTTCGGCTGCTTGAACAACGCTCGGTACGGGATCGCGTGGGGTGCTCTCGGTGCTGCAGAGTTCTGTTTCCATGCAGCTCGACAATACACACTCGACAGGTCAGACTTATTCCTATCTGTTCATACATGTTTGTGTTTAGCATTATTTTTTGGAGCTACGTGGAAAAATGTTTTTGTTCAATTCTTCTGTCGCTGTTTTGTTCCAGAATCCAGTTTGGCGTTCCGCTGGCGAGGAATCAGCTGATGCAGAAGAAAATGGCCGACATGCTGACGGAGATCACCATCGGCCTGCAGGCCTGTCTGCAGCTGGGCAGACTCATCGACGCTAAAAAGTAAAAAGACGACACATTTATAGCAATTAGTTATTGATCCATATTGTGCAGCTCTACCGTAAATATAGCAAATACAAATAAACACAAGATGTATCTGAGGCTGATCGGGTTGGCAGGTAATTGTCCATAAAGCATAAAAACTAATATGTCTATTAATAACTCCATGTTACCTTTCAATTACTGAAGAGCTGTGCTGCTGTGTTTATTGTATTTGTGTAACTCTGGCACAACGATGTCCTTCGGGGTGAATACAGTCCTATCTCATCTTATGGACCAAGTCGTAGGTGACCCAAATGTCCATGTTTTGTGCACAGAGCGGCCCCGGACATGATCTCCATGCTGAAGAGGAACAGCTGCGGGAAATCTCTGGACATCGCCCGGCAGGCCCGAGACATGCTGGGAGGAAACGGCATCTCAGACGAGTATCACATCATCCGCCACGTCATGAACCTGGAGGCTGTCAACACGTACGAAGGTGAGGAGGAGGAGGAGAGAGAATGTTTCAAATTCACCTAAAGGTCACCTATTGTGCAAAATTCTCTTCTTCATGTCTCTTCTACATCAACTTGTGTCCCCTCTTCTTCATGTCTCTTCTACATCAACATGTGTCCCCTCTTCTTCATGTCTCCTCTACATCAACATGTGTCCCCTCTTCTACATCAACATGTGTCCCCTCTTCTTCATGTCTCTTCTTCATCAACATGTGTCCCCTCTTCTTCATGTCTCTTCTACATCAACATGTGTCCCCTCTTCTTCATGTCTCTTCTACATCAACATGTGCCCCCTCTTCTTCATGTCTCTTCTACATCAACATGTGTCCCCTCTTCTTCATGTCTCTTCTACATCAACATGTGTCCCCTCTGTGGAAAGAGACTCTGAAAGTTTCAGGAACAAAGATTCTCTCTCTTTTTGATCCATTTCTATAAAAACCTGTCTGAAAATGAGCCGATCAGATTTTGGCCACTTTATGATGTCATAACGATGTGTTGGCTTGTGTAACCATTCGTATGACAATACAGAGCACTCACTCATCTGTTATGATATTTAAATGTTGAATATGTGTCTCCTCCTCAGGAACTCATGATATCCACGCTCTGATCCTGGGCCGAGCCATCACCGGCCTGCAGTCGTTCACCGTCAACAAATAGACCGTCCAACAGGAAGCTGCCGTCCTTCAAAACTCACATTTTGCATGTAGCAGTTTGGGGATTATTTTCATGAATTCTCTGTAAAGTGAAATATCTTTCAATCAGATTTAAAGGAAATGTATTTGAGTGCTTTATTTTCAAAGTGTGACCTATTGTAATTTAGAAAGAGTTTAAAAAGGGCTATTTTTACTACTCACAATTACACTTTAACTGAGGCTTTTCTCAGCTCCCTATTCCCTGTAGAGACTTGCATGGACTCTACTGGTAAAGAAATTAGGATTTTTTTTTTTAATGGAGTGGTGCAGGAATGAGTCCTAAAACCTGGAAATGAGTCAGTGTTTTTGTACTTTTAGGTCCCCTCGTCTCAAAGTTTTTGGGTAAAAAGTCAGAATTATCGAAAAAAATGCTGCACCACTCTGAGGTCAACATCTAGATGCTGCTGTCACTAATGTTTGCAACGTTGACACTGTAATTTTAAAACAACAAAGCATTAGTTCCCAGTGTTTGTCGTTTGTGTGTTTGTAGTTGCATGTCAAGGTGTATTGTTTTCTGATTTGATCAATTATGCAGACTGTTGTGTGATTGGTTAAAGAAGGGATCCAGTGAGGGGACGACTGTGAGTCACTGTGATGTAACCGTGCCAGAGGAGGAGGATGTGGATGAGAGCTTTAATAAATAAAGGTTATTTAAGTATCACTAATGTCTGTCAGTTTGTTAAGTGGTCTTAAAGTACGGTGGCCCTGAAGTGCAAGACACCACAGCATTTCAGAAAACACCACAGCATTTCACATTGGACGGAAAGGGTATTCCTTTAGGGAGAACACTTCTTGTTTGTGATTGGACAGAGCCAGCCATAGAAGCACTGCTGTGATTGGTTGTTTTTGCTGCCAGTCAAGAAATTACGCTTCGTGATTGGCCCAACACATCAGCCGTTAGCTGCTAGCACACACTCAGAGCTCACAGCTCCTCATATCTGTTCAGAAACTGGACAAAAGTTAAACATACACACACACAGACTGTCTATGTCATGGTGAATACAGTCGCTGCTTTATTTATGTCTGTATGTATGACGTTGTGAGTGTGGACGGAGCAGCTACAGGTTAGTTTAGCCTGGTCGATCCGATTCCGATAGGATTTACATGGAGATACGGCCCGCCCCCTCTCCAGCGTCTTGTTTGAATGACAGGAGTAAACACATAATTAATGCTTTATTCATTCATGGTTTTAAGGGGCTTATCTCCATGTAAATACTATGGTAGACTACCCAATATTCGCATCGCTCTAATCGCTCGAGTTTCACCGCGGCTGTCAGCTGTGTTTGCTCCTGTCATTCAAACAAGAGGCGCTGGAGAGGGGGCGGGGCGTATATCCATGTAAATTCTATGGGAGATACCAACTACAACAAAATGAACATATTTGACCGTAATTTAATTGTAATACACGTTTCAAAGTGATGCCGAAGCAACTACATACTGATAACGGTTAGTAAAAACCATGAATTAACGCTTTAACAAGTCTGCAAACAAGACGGCAGGCGAAAAGCTTTTAAAATGCGTGTTTTCGAATGGAATCGGATCCATCAGGCTAAACTAACCTGTAGCTGCTCCGTCCACACTCACAACAACGTCATACAGACATAAATAAAGCAGCGACTGTATTCACCATGACATAGAGAGTCTGTGTTTTGTACATGTTTAACTTTTGTCCAGTTTCTGAACAGATATGAGGAGCTGTGAGCTCTGAGTGTGTGCTAACAGCTAACAACTGATGTGTTGGGCCAATCACGCAGCGTCATTTCTTGACTGGCAGCAAAAACAACCAATCACAGCAGTGCTTCTATGGCTGGCTCTGTCCAATCACAAACAAGAAGTGTTCTCCCTAAAGGAATACCCTTTCCGTCCAATGTGAAATATTGTTGTGTTTTCTGAAATGCTGTGGCGTTTTCTGAAATGCTGTGGTGTTTTCTGAAATGCTGTGGTGTCTTGCACTTCAGGGCCACCGTACTAAAGAGTATTAAAAGTTGATAAATCAATTTAGCGACAATGAAGGCTATTAAAAAGTATTAGACGGCGTTTTCCAAGGTATTACATTTTGTAGCTTGTTTTCATTAAGTATATAAATTGTCCAAAGAGGTAGTATTCTACAGTCTGCCTGAAGTAATCATTGCGTAGGTGTGTAGTGCAGAATCACACTACACACCTACGCAATGAGTACGGGATGCCATAAATAAACTACAGTTTATTTATGGCATCCCGTTGGATTTGACGTCATCTGAACAGGACATCGCACGCTCACTGCTTGATGGCGCGCAAAGGTCCGTTTACGCCGGTTGTTAAACAACATCGTTATGGGGAAATGCAAGTCTGCGTCCAAATGGTTGGAAGATAAGGAGGAAGGACAATCAATACTGTATATAGTCAATGTGAGGTGAAGTGTGTCACCAAGGTAACCGGTTACAACTCAAAGTGGCGATGAGGTCTTAAAATGTATGGAAAGGGTCTTTAAAGGGTCTTACATTTGACTTCAGGATTCCTGCATATACCCTGCCACCCTTATGTAGCTGTTAAAGTAAGGAAAACAAGGATTTGTACCTATTCTGTGCAGGAATCCAGGAAATAAATATTGAAATATTGATGCTAGGGCTCCCGATTGAAAGTCTGATACAACAGAAAACATGATGTTATACTGATATAGCCTTGGGATGAATAGAAAATATGGTTTTATGTTTTCACTGGAGCCATTATGTGTTTTGGCTAAACTCTTAATATAAACTTTATTGGAGCTATGGTTAGACTTCCAATATTTCCAAAGAAACAACTTACATTTCAGAAGTGTTTCACATATATTCAGTAACACAGCATAAGAGAAATCTGAAATGCAAATGTGTTCACGATTAACCATAAGGGTTTAACCAGAGGAGGTCAGAAGACACGAGATGTACTGTTAAGTTGCTCTTTACGGGTCAGAAAGGTCAACTCTATTTATAGCGCCTGCCTCTTTAAGACAAGGTGTGTGTGTGTGTGTGTGTGTGTGTGTGTGTGTGTGTGTGTGTGTGTGTGTGTGTGTGTGTGTGTGTGTGTGTGTGTGTGTGTGTGGCCTAGCATTACTATACTTGTGGGGACCTAAATCTGTTTACACAGTCACGTGTGGGGACTCGCCTCCCTTATGGGGACAAAATGGAGGTCCCCATAAGGGGAATCATTAATTTTAGGGTGAAGACTTGGTTAGGGTTAGGCATGTGTTGGTTATGGTTAAGGTTAGGATAAGTCTCCAGGAAATGCATGTAAGTCAATTTAATGTCCCCTGAAGTGATGTATACATGGTATGTATGTGTGTGTGTGTGTGTGTGTGTGTGTGTGTGTGTGTGTGTGTGTGTGTGGTGTGTGTGTGTGTGTGTGCGTGCGTACGTGCGTGCGTGTGAGGTAGTTTGTAGTTTCTTATTTAGTTAAGCTCCACCTTCACCAGCTACAAAATGTAAAAGATGTATAGATTAAAGATCACTTATTTATAAACCAGTGGTATACATATCTATAAATGTCAATTATGTATAAGGATTACTTTTACTTTCGGTACTTTAAGTACATTTTGATGCTTATACTTTTACTTGTATTTCAACACGGTATTACTACTTTTACTTAAATAAAGTATATCAGTGCTCCTTCCACCACTAGTTAAACTAAACTACATTTAGATTGTATTCCTGATCTCTAACCAACATTTCGAGACAGTCTAATAACCCTCTACTCTTTGCTAAGTGACTGATTGACTGACTGATTTCCTGCAGGGGGATTTCTCGGTAACTGGAGGGTATTAGATTAGGGGAAGACGACGCCATATTTAATCCTGCGTGGGTGACTGAAAGTGGGCCAAGCCAACAGGTTAGAGACCACCTGCAGACAGAGAGAGGAGCGCTTCATTTCAATACCAAGGACATAAGGGAAGGACAAGTTGAGCCGCTGAGCTTCTGGGATTTACTTTACCGAGAAGAATTATTCACTCAAACCTTCGCATGGATTCTGGGCTTCGAAACAAGGTTGGAAATGCATTAAATATTAAACGCTGGTGATATACGGAGGTAGGTTTGTCTCAATGTGTTTGTGTTAACAATCAGCCGTTTGGGAATTATTTGTGGATTGTAGTTTTACGTGCGTTGATTTGCTTTTTACATACAAAATGTGTAAATGTTACAAATAGTATATATTCACAAATGCTTTTAATTTACGTGGAATTTGTTTCAAATCAAATTTACTGCTTGAGATTATTTTAATTATTCAATTGTATTTTTTTGTTTTTGTTTGTATTAGTGGAAGGTGTTCTCACATTGACAAATCACATATTTACAGTCTTATTGTAGGTCATTTCACACAAATAATAAAGAGACAAACCTCCCATATTAATCAAATTATCTGACTTTCTCAATTTCCTTTTTTTGCAGGTTTTCTTCGCTCCTTTCTGGTGGTTTTTGCTTCACGTGAGGACTTCTACTGTCATGTCTCTGTCCAATTATAAGTGATAACGAAGAACCAAAAGTCCCCTCTCTGTTGGAATAATCCTCCTTCATCATGAATGTTGCTAACTTCACCAATGTGGTCAAAACTGGGAAAGGGATCCCAATTTCCACCTTAGAAGACCCTCTGTATATTCAGTATAAGCCCCCAATAAAGGACCTGGTGCCCCTGCCTAAGACGGTGATGTACCTGCTGATAGCTGTCCTGGTGGTGTTTGGAGTTGCCTATGCTATTGTGGGACATCTCATCAAGGATCTGGCCATTGACATTACAGGTATATTTCATTCTAGAGGACATTTAAGATGTATGCTAATTACAGTTTGGTTTGTTTAACCCATTACTTATTTAAAGAGCAAATGTAAAGTGGAAGCTATGGGTTATTGTAATAATATCATACAAGCTTAGTAAGTTGTTGGTGGTTAATGTGACCAATGCAACACCTGATGCAAGGTATGGAAGCCCATGCAATTACTATAGCATTATCATTTACCACAAATGAATGTGTTATTCGAGGAAAACGCAATAATTCTATTTTCATTTTCACAAAGTTCAGCGTTCTGATGATGAAAAGGGAAAAGTTGACATTTAATTTTCAAAGCAATACCCTGTTTTTTTTGTTTTTTTAAGTTGCATTTTAATATTGTACACGACACAGCGGCGATACAAAAGTGAACATGGTTACAACATATTTACATATAATTGTCAGTGTTAATGTGTTGTCTGCCACTGTAACTGTCAACCATGTCAACGTTGTATCCGTAACTTTTTGCTAACTATGAATCATTTTCATTTAACGTTAATTAACTTGTTAGCCTCGTTTAACCATTAAATTGTGAAGTTACTTAAAGCTAACTGTTAGCATTCTTTACCCATACTTTTAGCCATTGCTATCAAATGCTACCAACATTGAATGTTTATTTCCTAATTATAACTAACAATTTTAGATTCTCCCCCATTTATTTTATACTTTAAGCCCAACTATTTCAACAATTTGTTATGTCTTTTAGCTAACTACCCTGTTGATAAGACCAGCATGGTATCCTTTACTATTAGGACCTTTCCGTTAGCTTGCTTATTGTTTTCACTTCTCTCAAAAATAACCTGTGTTGTCAGTATGTGAATGTATATGCATTTACTTTGTTAAATACATATGCTTCGTGCAGAATAACCCCTTGGTGTACATGTAGC